TTTATAATAAGTTAAAGTGATTTGCTTCTGTTTGTTAGACCGAAATGCTACCTATAGTTGCAAGACATTGAATTGGAGCAAATCGCATCTTGTGGGACCTGAAAGCTCATGTCGAATAGGTACGGAAAATATATGAAAGTAACCTTGGGAATTTGAGGTTATAAAAAAAATGAGCGTAAAACAGGTCAAATCCTAACCGGTATCTCGAATTTTCCGATTTCAGTTTGAAAGTTATGAAACTTTTTGTTTTACCGTTCGATACATAACGAAAAGACGAGTCGAATACACTATTTGAAAGCAATTTTCCATTTCGCTTTGCTGAAGATCTACCTATCGCAAACAAGAGAGACGCAGACTAGCTTTTGTAAAATCCGCTTCAGTATTTCCAAAATATTGCGAAAGTTTTTCATCGATACCACGAGAAAGCCCTAACTTTTTACTGTATATTCCATAAACGAATTTAAGGTTCGCTACTGTTTTATACAGGCAAAAGTTTAGTGCTGCTGGGTTCTCAAAACACAAAAAAACACAAATGTCGAGATTTGGTGTTCTATGATGCCGATATTTCCAAACCTTTATAACTCGACTTATGCTGACCCTACGCATGGGAGTTTTTCACTTAAAAGTGGTTCCAGTTTATGCGAACAAAGTCGATGTAAACATGGTACGGACTCCACGGGAACTCCACGTCATAATCCAATCAATGATTATTAGAAAAGTTGCAAACTATTAAAAATAATGGAAAACATCATTTTACGGATGAAATTATAAAGTTGATTTATACTGCAATAACAGAATATCGTCGAATAATTGCCGAAATTGTTTCCACTGATCGAATATCAGAACATGTTGATGTTTATGGAGAAAGGCTTGGTTTTGATCATAATCGTAAAGAACTAGTTGGTTTATACGTAGCCGGAATAACCTAGTGAGAAGAGCAGAATTAAAGGTTTAAGTACAGAAATCAGATTGCTCACATAAGAAAATGGCTGTCACAAAATAATGGTTAAATTCGAATGCAATTTATGCGAAAAATCATTACAAGTCGCGCTGTTAAGGTGGCGCCACCTGTAAGTATCCCAAAATTAACATCTTGATTTTACCGGTAGTGGAATCGGAGATTTCCATTCTGAAATGCATACTTCAAGTTGGATTTCTATTGCTTTATCTAAAATAATTATTATTTTTTTTAATTACAAATAAACAAATTCAATTAAAGTTCATTTGGTCACCCGTACCAGATCAGATGATTATGTTCGAACCGGAAGAGTGTATCGCAATTATACTGAGACTGAGATTAAAAATGTATTTGAGAGAATTCCACATTAGATTGAAATTCATGGAAAATACTAGTAACTTAAAAAAAAAAATACCTAGTAACTTTCGAGCCTCTTCTATCTAATGGTTCGCAGATATAATCGTTTGATTGCTTTTGCGTACAATGTTAATAACTTCTGATTGAAGAGAAATGAAAGTGTCTTCTTTTTACCGCAATGTAGCCACAAGTCTCCTGTATCCACAGCACGAATTTTGTCAGTTGGTAGTTAGTGGTTACTCAAATGCAGCGATTTTACGCTCGAGGATCACTTTTGAAATTCCAGTTTCGAAAAAAATCATAACTCAGTCTAGGAATATGATTTTCACTTCCGAATATTGCATCTGCAGCGTCCCTGGATTATTTACACAGGGTTGAAAGGTTAACTATAGTATGGCTCGAGAAATTTATTGATATAATAGCCAGACAATAGGCAAGAATAGCCAATCAGAACAAAAACTGGACAATTTTCATGCGTCTCATAAATTAACTTCTCGAAAAGTAACAAATTTCGTTTCGCATCATCAGGTCGAAAATCGAAAAGTCATTGAAAAGTCGAAACATGACTTTGTTTTGGAGTATAACAAAATTTCGCCACATTTCAGTCCGCCAGAAATTTTCAATACAGATCAAACGGGTGTTGAAAAAGAGTTACACTCTTCTCGAACTATATCATTTTCCGGCGAAAAGAAAACTTTTGGTGCCATTCAATCGAAAAATACCACTAAACACTCTTACACTTTGCAACCAACTATTTTCTTAGACGGACACCTTTTGGACAAAATTTATTTGTGTTTACAAGAAACGGGCGGTAAGTTATACAAAAAGTGGATTGTTCGTCGAACAATGTTTGCTCACTTTCTTTCCTCTATTTTTAGGAAAAATGTTTTTTGTGAGTTACCATTTTCATTGAAGCGAGTTTTTTTTCGTAAATTGTTAGTCATATTTCAACCGACTTGTTTATAAAAATAACCGTGAAATCAGAAAAATCATTCAAGGTAATTCATTCAAGTTGTCTTTTAATTCATTTTTTGATTAAGGCATGTCGAAAAACTGCTTCATTCGCGTAAAAGATTTTTGTATCAAACTATTGTCTCCGTCAAATCCAAATCTTTAGCTCTTCTAAGGACTGAAAACAATGGAATATTCGAATTTGGCAGGTTCGATAACCTAGAAAACAGTGTTTTTATCGCACAAAACGCATAAGTGTGAAAACGGGTTTTCCTTGGTGTAGTTTTAAGTTTTAGTCTTTCAAAACCCGCTCAAAACCTCCTCTAAAATCTTGAAAAATAGTTTTACGTGGGTTTCGCGATATGCTCTTTGATATTCACGGATCAAAAATTTTTTTTATTGCAAATGGTTTTTCGACCCCAAAACCCAATATTTCAAAAACCGGATCTTTAAACTAAAATTGGGCCCAAACCAATGAAATATTCGGGATCAGGACACTCGATTACCTATTGTCCACTAAGTTTTGGGCCAAAACCTTCTGGACAGTTGGGGGCCTTCCCTCGACGGGGGTCCAGGAATATGATTTTCACTTCAGAATTGCATCTGCACTGTCTCTGAATTATTTACACAGTCTTGAAAGGTTAACTATAGTATGGCTCGACAAATAATATAATCTATAGTATGGCTTAACAAAACGCCCAGGTGAATCGTAATCAAGGTGCAAATCTCACTCCCATGCCCACTCCATTTTTATTAAGAAAACTGCATAAAAGTGACAACTGTACTTAAATTTGTCACCTTTTGTAGAGAATTATTTGTACTGCAAGTAAATTTCATAGGCATACGCTATGGCTATCTGAAAAAAGCAAACAATGCTGCTTCGAGATCAGAAGTTTGGTCGGATCCAATCCGATAGATGTGTCCCTGCATTACTTACCAAATGGCGAAAACTTTCTTTAAGGGGTTAAACTATTCTTTTAACAAAGTCGAAGTGTTTATCTTATTTTCAGTCGTGTAAAAGTTCATTTTCTAGTGTAATCTAAAACCCCTGTTTCAAATTCATGTGTTCAGCCAGTCACGCTACAATCGTTCGAAAAAATTTGTCAGGTAAGTCAGAATTTTTATCATGGACATTTCAAGTCCTAATCCAAATACCAAAGGAGGAGGGCCGATAAGATGCAAAGTCGGCCCACTCTGAAATTTTCCTTATATTTATGGGTTTGATGTACTTTAGTTCGGGTGTAAACTGGCATCGAATTAGTCCTTAGAAACCGCTTATTATTTGAATTTTGCTTCTTCCGACAACTTTTACTCATTCCATTCTTATATTTCGTCGCTTCGTCTAAAAGAAAATTACAGTTCTTATATATCATTCAATCGGAATTTTTACAGGCTACAAAATGGTATATAAACTATTGGGGAAAAAATGTAACTGGGTATCTTTCGGTAGCACATGACAAAAGTTCTCTTTTTGCACAAAACCTGACATGTATTTTGACTATACTAGGAATACTTCAATTGAAGCGTGCAAGATCATATACCGAAGAGCATTATTTTTCAACCAAACTAACTGAATCAGTTACTTATCTTGTCCACAAGTGTAAAACAATCTCGAACATGGTACGAGTACCAGCACAATGGGCACATGTCGCACCAAAATTTACCATCATGTCATACAATTTAACAAAAACGAGATCATTAGCTATTGCGAATAGGTACTATTAGGTACTGTGAATGCCCCATTGAAACCTGTATTTTGGGATGCTACAGTCATGTTGCTTCTGCAATTTGGTTCTTATGCTATGAGCGTTGACAGATCAAACACTGTGTAATACCATCGGGCGATTTTGGATAGAGCGCATCAAGTTAAGTAGGCAAAAGTGTGTTTTAATTTTTTAAAACATTTTTTAAGAGGAAGAATTCGAAAGGTTTAAAATTTCGAAAAACCAATCTAGGGTTTTTGGTGAAGAGATGAAGCTGATTTTTTTACTTCATTAGAACTGCCATTAAACGAGCTTTAAAAGAACGCATCCAACCATGCATAAACAAATGGGAAAGAGAATCTTATTCGAACTTTGAATTTTTGGCACCTGAGCTGTCACCCGATTACTAGATTTCAGCTGTCGTTATCAAATAGTTGCAATAGAGTATTAGTATTCTAGATGAATTGGGCGATACTGTGTTTTGTTATTCTTGGGTGAAAAGCAAAGCTAAGAGAGTGAGAAAGTCATTGTACATTTTCCTCCGAACGGTCAATGGCAAAATAAATATGACTACTATTACCTAAAATGTATATGGGTTTCAGATCTTATTATGACCTTTCATAGTGAAAGCACTAGATGTATTACAGATGAATATTACGGGCTTTCTATTAACTGATTTGGCATTTTGGTTTCGTACTTGGAACAATCAACGTTCACACAAATTTAGTCTGAAGCCGAGCTTGGTCCTCAATATAGGGTCAACCAGAAACGTTAGTAACCATAGTCAAACTAAATTCTCAGCAAGATAAGAAACGAAAAAAAGTATTTCATGTCCTTCCGATCTTGATTATTTGTATGATTATTTTTTATATAACCATCACGTTGAACAATAGCCATGAATGACAACGGACGGACGGAAACGTAAAAACGAAATTACACAAGTGCAACGTTATATTGACATAATAGTTTTCTATCGGTTATATTCCAATACCCACAGTAAACAGTCGCTCGATATTATTATTTCAAAATAATCAATAATTACTTGATGGACGCTGTAATGGAAGTTTAATTTTAAAAGCACCACATTTATTAATTATTCTATAAAACTCATTTCGAAACGTTTGACCCGAAAGAGTAAATATATAGAAACTACACGAATGATTAATAAACGATATTGATCGTACTAATTGTAATAGGAAGTTCTCTTGTGCTAGTGTTAAAGACGATTTGAGCATATTTGCCGTATATGTTGAATATAGTTTTTGAATAGCATGTGGTAATGTAGTAATAACAATAGAAACAACTTGAAAAATGAGCATTATAATGAGTTGTCGATCTTTTCGATGAAGGTGACACATGGCTGTTGTTGTTGCTGGATCAAGTTGACGTCGGAGATTGAATACATTTCTCACGATTAGGATACTGAATATAATCATAATAAACGGTGGAATGAGCGTATAACACGTCAGATAGAAAAAATCCGCAAATATACGATAAAAGCCTTTTTGTGCATAGCATGAAGGTAATAAACGATTATATTCATCAAGACTTAATTCAATATTAAAATAGAGAAGAACATGTACAAAGATAAGCAGACAGAACATGGTAGCAATTATAATGACAATATAGGCTATTTTCAATTGGCTAAATTTACGAATTTTTGGTTGTTGACTACTTGATGCAAATCTATCGATGGATGCTAGAGCAATGAACGTGGAAGATAGAGTACGTGCTGTATATGGAATATAATATCGTAGTTTACAATAGATATCTGAATAAGTGCCCGGATCTATATTAAAACCTTCAGATAATATTCGACTTGGCATAGCAAACCAAACAATAAAAGCGTTGGCAATTGAAGAAGCAAGGAAATATGCTGAGATAGAATAGTCTTTCAGCGAAGGACGAGTGAAAATCATCACGTTTAATATAATGCTTATTGAACCGAGTACAAGTAAAGGCATTGGAAAATAACGAATTAGCTGTTGAGATGCATAATTCAGTTGAATAATAGTTGTATTAGTAGACATTTTATTCTTTTGAAAAAAATAATCTGAACAGTTAAATCAATTCTACGTCTCTACTTCAAATACTTTTAACGGATGAGGCAAAAGTTCTGCATTAATTTTGTTTTCGATATAAAGTTGCGATGGAATATCGTAGAGACTTTATTCTTTTAATTGTTAGAAAGAGCAAAGTATCTAGCACAAAAAAATATATGAAAGTGTTTGGTTGAAAATGTTTCCCGAAAGCCACACAAATCTTAGAACAAAAAAGCATCGAAAAACTGTTCGGTAACCGTTTCGAATTTAGAAAAAAGCACACCCAATTAGAAAAGTTATGTTTTTATTCGTTTTATTTCGAATTTTATAATTCAAGGATAGGGCACTTTTGTTGCACAGAAAATAAGACGTCGTGCACAATTTGCGAACTTATTTTTCTCTAACTTTTCTTTTTGCCAGATATCTTAGGTATGTAGGGTGTCTTAGGCATCATAGAAATTAAGGGTATCGTGCAACTACTTATCGAACTCACTCTCAACCTCATCTCTCTCCCCCCCCCCTCTCCTCTCATCACATACGAATAACCCCTGTACATGTGTCCGGTACGTATAATTCGTTGCGAACTGAAAATGTGACTACTATATTTGAGTTCGTCGCGAACTGATATTGTACATAGTATGAAAAAGAAATTTTCTTCATATTTTATAACGGTCGAAATGAGCGCTTTTATAAAATCCTATGTACCACCGATTTTCATCACTGTCGATCGCAGTTGAAAAAAGAAATTCTACTCCTAGAGGGAAGTTGCCAGAAACTAACTTAGTTATATACTGTACATGAAAAAGAAAGCTTATCGAGTACTCTAACAAACGACATTATTTGGAATAGAACACAGCTATTCTGCGAGATATTAGGACAAAAACTTGTTTTCGCGTTGTAAACGTCAAATTGAGTTTTTAATCAAACGGTCTTCTGTTCAGTGTTTTACACTCAAGGTCATCTTTTTCAGTGCCATACGAGAGCTTTCGCTGTAACGAACAGCTCCATATATATAGTGCTCGAAAACATCGAAAGTGTGTGTAATGAAAAAGGTCAAACAAATATATTTGGATGCAAAGATTGTAACCGAAGTTATGGAACAGTTTTCCGATGTCTTTTGTTCTATGATTTTTGTTACCTTCGGGAAACATTTCCGATTATTATTTTCTTTTTACATTTTATTTATTTTTGTACTAGATACTTTGCTCTTTCTAACAATTAACCCTTTGGGGACGGGTGACGTTTTAAAACGTCATTAAAACGTCAAAAATCGGAATAAGTCGTGTTTTCCAAAACTTTCTTTTGAAGAAACGTCTCTCAAAACTAGATCATAATCAAATT